GGGGATCTGAAAGATTTATAAATCACTTGACACACTTCCAGCGGCGCTTGCAGCTGAACTTTATTTATAACGATGTGCGCACCTGGAAAACCAGCCCTTTACCGTCACGGTGATTTTTACCGGAAATATTCACCGTTTTCTATACTAATCTACCGAATATAATATTTACAGTTGGTTCTTTACTGCCTGCAGCCAAAAGGCAAAAGATTTGAGTCAAACAGATCAATGAGCTCAAACTGGGTGTGGTAGACTTGAGGTACATTTATTCATTTTCTTTTCCATCGTGTCACACGGAGCTATATTTTAAAATAGAAAGCACAAATTTAAGTGAAAGCAGCTTATTTTTTTATTTTCCTGTTGTGTTTTGTAGTTGACACACAGTTGTGAGGAAATGCTGCTTTTTATTATTTTAAGCTGTGCTCGATAGATTTTTATCATATTTTAGGACGATTTACAGCTAAATTGAAAGGGAACGACCTTTTCCCATGCTCCACAAAGGAAGAAACTCCATCTGCCTTCATTTAAACCAAATTAAGACCATCTTTTGTCAACAACTCAGTGAATATTAAAGCGTTTTCATCTTGAAACGTACGTCTATTAATAGCTAAAATAAATCATCAGGACCAAATATCCAAAACTGATCTGTAGAAGGCGTTTTTAAATAAAGAAAAGTACATCATCGTGTTTTACAGCTGCGTGTTTGGGTTTGCAGAACAGCGAAGAACCCCCGGGGCAGTTTTCTTTGCCCACATGAGCGTCTGAGCTGGTGTTTACGGGGAAGAGCAGATGCTTCGGTCAGAAGGAATCGCCATTTCTGCCGTGCAGATGGACACCTCGGACTCATCTGACGAGGAGACAAGAACAAGGAACCATGAACTAATATTTGAAAGTACCTTTCTCTTCTTTGGGCTAGAACAAGCTTTTGCCGGGAAAAAAACTGCTTTCAATCAGAAACTAAATTAGTTTTCAGGTTGGTCGAACAGAGCTGTGTGGGCTACAGCGCATATGTTGAAGGTGTCTAGAGTGGTCCAACCTGAAGGTCTTGACTAAACCCTAAACTCTGTCTACTGTGCCCTCACCGTGAGTAGGACTTGCACTGTCTAGAAGAACAGAGGTAGTTTTTTGTTGTTGTTTGCTTCTCTGTGGCAGCATACAATAAACTACTAGGCACAATGGTGAAGCCAAGGAGTGGCCTTGGACGTCACAGGTTAATCCACCCCAATAATTTGGGGAAACTATACTATTAAGCAATATGGAAAGAAAGCATAGTTTCCTCAAGTGATCGGGGTGGTCGGTTCTCACATATACAGTACATGTCAACCCTTGGGGATTGTCAGGAAATTATACCAATTTCCCCCCATTTTTTTGTGGCTACAACCGTACAAGTAAAGTTTTACGGCTTTTACAAAAACTGCTTCAAATTTATTTTACATCTGTCTTTATGTTAAACGTTGTTGCCTGATCATGATGAACTCACACAAACGTGTGGTGTAAACAAAGAACCAGAAGTCTGATAGTATATTTATCCCCAAATCTTGAGTAATACCACAATTCCGACGCGCCAAAGGTGATTTGAGTGTTTTTACCGTTGTGTACAGCCATTATTTCTACCGGAGATGGTTTCAATAGAGCTATCGTATGGTGAGAAAGAATGGGAACGCCTAAGAAGAGAATGGGGTATAGTGGGAAGTACCTTCCTGAATGAAAGTAGACATCTATTGGATGTATGTATATCTACATTCAACATATTTATGTTGTAAATAACATTTGTGCCGCATGAGTACTGTGGATTTTTTGTGAATTTTATAAAGGTTACTAGCAGGACATCCGAAGCGGTTGACGTATATGAAAAACCCAGTTTTCAATAGGAAAATGCAGCCACACACCAAAATGGAAGTTGGCGCCTCACTTTTATTTTTCAAGTTTATTGAGCACACAAGATGGACAGAGGGTATTTCAAATTGACCTCTTGGTTCCATGACGGTGGACAGTAAAAAGACAATTGGTGTGTTGGGGTCATCGTCTAGGCATGAGGCGAGCCAGGCCAGCCTTGGTTCAAACTCTCAATTACCAAACCGTGGGGTACACGAAGGTCCAGTATCATGGATAAACTCCTCTACGCTCCACCCAGGACCCTGAAACACTGCAGTCGACCATTCATTCTGGTGTTTCTAGCACCTGTAGACTTTGCCAGGATCCTGCAAAGGTTATCCCATACGGTCTAGTTTCTCATATGGTCTGGCGGTTAGAATTCCTGGTTTTAACCCAGGCAGCCGGGTTCAGCTCCTGGAATGGGGACTGATACTTTGGGGTCCAAGATGGGGTAGAGGTAGGGCAGCTGACCCAGGACCAGAAAGTCGCAGTTCGACTCCCAGCCATTCTCGCATGTCGTGATGTCCCTGAGCAAGATGCCTAATCCCCAATTGCTCCACGGGCACTTGCATAGCCACCCACTGCTCCACCTGGGTGTATCTCACGTGTGATGGGTTAAATACAGGGAACTAATTTCGCCATCGTATGGGAACATACAATGATGACAACACATAGCACTTAACAAGGACCACCTGTTGGGGCCTAAGGTGCAGGTTCCAGCTATACAGTTCTACGTCTGTCCTCTCGGTGGACGTATTGCTGCTTTCCGTTCAACCCGTTTATCTCCTCCAACCACAGAGGAGCTGTTTACCTCTTTGTTTGACAGTCAAACTGGTTTTTTGTTGTCAGGTCTAGTTATTGGGAAGCAAACATGTTTGGTTTGTGGCCGGTCTTGTTGAGAAAACAAACATGAATTGAGTGTTTCTGGAGGCCCATGACTCTTACTTATAAAAATCTTCTTTTTTCTTTTTCTTTAGGTTTTAAAACAAGTCACTTTTCCATCAAACGGGTCCATGTAATTTAATGTTTCCTCCTTTGACTGAGCCGGGTCGTAACACCGTCCAGGTTCTGGCCTTTTTCTTGGTGGGAAGGGGCCTAAAGGTGGATAAATCCCAGTGTACAAACTTATTTGATCTGTGAGCAGAAATCCTCACATTTTCTGTGAGGATTGAATTAATTTATCCAGATTGTTCCAGTGATTATGTGAAAACTGGCCCGAACCATGATACCACCACCGTTTCACAGACAGGTTGTCATCTCCCACCATATCACTTCTTCTTTTGATAGGCTGAGAAACGGCGGCTTGTTAGAAAGCTGTTTTATTGTTTAAAATGTGCCGTGCCCAGACGATGAACTCCTACTGAGACCTTCAGCTGCTGAAATGTTAACGCGTCCATTCTGTACTTTTGGAAAGGGTAACAATGGGCTTAAATGTCAACCTTTTACACAAACTGTCTGGCCCACAAAATTCATTAGCAACCGTTGTGTAACATTAAGACCCTGAAGACCTCTTTATCTAGAAATGGGATTATATTTAACAAGTGCTAATACAATAAAGCAATAGAACCACGGTATTTAACGCTACTCCATTTCAATCTGTAATCTTGGAAGTTTATCTGGGAAACCAGCAACAATAGAACACCAATCCAAAACCCGTAACCACTGACCTTGAAATTGAGATCCTGCAGTTCAAGAGCTTGTCCGTTGGAGGAAGCTGAACGTTTTCAATCAGCGCAAGGCCGAACGTCACAACAAGACCGAACACGGGGAATCCCCGTCCTGCTGAACCAGCATCTGCTTTACATCCTCTGGTTTCTATCAATCAGCAGAGGATCCACTGGACCTTTTAAAAACCCGGCAGCAGTAAACCAGTTCAGTTAGTGGATGTATCCATCACAAACTGGCCCCAAGAGACATGTGATCCATCCAACCAGCTAATGAGACTGGACCAGTTGTCCCTATGGGCCACAGTGTAGGTCAAGGTCTGTCCGTTGGGACCAGGACTGCATCATATTCAGAGTATTAAGACTTCCTGGGTGTGTGTGTGGTCCGATACACCGGAGACAACAGAGGGACACAATCGATTCAAATAACGGGTCTCTGTTGTAAATGAGTCCTCATGGCTCAATGAGACTAACCTGAATAAATAAAGGTTGAACGACTGAAACGATCAAACTTGAACAACTTGTGATGTTTAAATTATTAGTTAAATTATTAGCGTCTCTGAGTATTTAGAAAAGCACTAAACAAATAAAATGTTCTTGTTGTTGCCCAGAACCATGATGTTTTTGGTAGTTTTGATGCTTTTCTTTGGTGTTTCTCTTCCTCCAAACGCACCAAATGGGACTTGATGCCAAAGAGCTCTGTTTTGGAGCTCCAACCTTGAGGAAACCCACAGGTCAAAGAACACCGAATTTAAAAATGACTGCTAAGGACATTTATATTTTGACTCGATAGGTGTGAGAGATTTTTTAAAAAGCGCTGGTGTAAGCAAATAAAATCTGTCTAAAGGTAGTGGTGGTGGTTCTGCTCTTTTTTTTTTTTTTTTAAAGGGAACCCCCCCTTTAAAAAACCAACCCCAATTTTCAAATTAAGCACCAAAAATGTCCCCTCCCCCCCCCCAAAGCTCCTTGCTGCTGGTCTCGACCCGATCCATCCATTCTGTTCTACCCTCTGATTCTTGAAGTCCTTTGGCAGATCCTGGTCCAGTGCATGGTGGTGGACAGGTGAGCTGGGGGTGCCACCACAGGGGGGATATTTAAACTTTTCTCTTTATTTCCAGTTCACGTTTTTGTTCACACACGCATACAAAATAAATTAAAAACCTAAAACACAGCAACAAGCAAATAAAATATTTCTGTTCCAGCTTTTAGTTTTGGTGCCATCCCAGGATTTCCAGTGGGGCCCCCCCCACATCATGGCCCCATTAATAAATTTCTGGATGCGCCACTGGGATCGGCTGAAATGGGTTATAATTGTGTAATTCTTTCCTTCAAATCAGAACTTTTGTGTTTTTTTTTCTGTATTTTTAGCTCCTGTTTTGTCCCTCTGTATAAAAATAAAACTAATCAAAGCATCAGTGGATCTGCCACGTGCTTTGTAAACAATATTCAAACAATAAAACTCACCCAGAACCCCGACAATAAACAGCTTCAGTGCGATGAACTCCTGCGCATCCATCACGCAGACGGAGTCCAGTCTTAATGGGGGGGGGGACAAAGGCTCTCAGCGGCGCGAGGACGCGCTCCAGAACCGAACCATGATGGACTCGCTCCAAAGGGTCCGTCCTTCTGCCGGCAGGAGGCAAAGAAACCAGCAGATCCGACTCCGAGGCGGTCCAGGAGTCCTTCTGTGGTCCGTCAGGAGTCTGAGATCCGGTCCTGCGTCCTCCTCACAGGGAGGGGAGGTGGAGGAGGAGGAGGAGGAGGAGGAGGAGGGTCTCCTCCAACCTTCATCACAAACTGTCAAGTTAAAAACTGCGTTTATTTTTTATTTTATTTTAGTGCTAAGGAACAAAGCAGGATGAAAATATCTCTAATCCAAGTCCTAATTTAAACTCTTGACTCAAACGAGTCATTAATTGAAACTAAAATTAGATTTAATTTGTATAGCGTGCGCTATAAACAATGATGATGCTGTAATGAGCGATTAAGATTGAATCTACAGTAATCTGCAACCGCTGACGTCATTACCTAGACAACACTGCCCTCTAGTGGATTAAATGGGAACTACAACTGCATCAAAACTGCTTTTTTTTTTTTTTAAGTTTTTAAAAAATGAAACTTGTGTAACATCTGAGATCATCTCAGCTCAAATACAAATAAAGAAACGTTTGAGGTGTTTTTTTTTTTTTTAATATACCCACCTAGTTGCATTATGTCATCTACTGAGCTTAATTTAACCACAAAAAAAAAGAAGCATTCTGCAGAAAATCTGAAATCTAAATAATTTTATATCTTTTAATCAAACACAAACTGTGCGTTTTAAAGCAAAGTCATCAAGATAAAATATAAATTAATTAAAATGTACACTCATGCGCGCATAACGGGTGCACAATGTCATCTTTAACGATCAAATGAAGCATTTTTAAACAAAATTATGGTTAAAAAAATGACTCAGCCTTTAGCTGTTTGGACCTATTCTTGTCATGTCTGTTAGCAAAATATCTCATGGACCACAGGACGATTTTTAATTAAATTTCCAGGAAACAATCACCAGATTTAACTTGGAGACTGAATCACAAGTAAAATATTTAAAATGCTATTTATTTGTGTTTTATTTGCTGAGTTCAGGGGCACCACCAGGGAATGGCCACCGCTAAAATAAAAGTGTCCTCCAATTTTAATTTTAATTTCCTCTTTATATTTTTGGACTGGTAGAATTTCATGAATATAAACTTTTTTTTTTTTTTGAGGGGTTAAAAATATGCATGTCCATTTTATTTAAAAAGAAATGTATAAAACTTCTAGTCCCCCTGAATAACATTATGGGGGACATCTTTTTCCAAAGGACCAAATCAAGATGTTTAAAACAACCGAAGAGCCGCATGGAGAATTGTAAAAATAAAAACATTAAAATTATTATTCTTTAAACATTTTCAGGCTTTTTTTTCTTTTTTTTTTGTAGCATAGGTATGCTCAAATAAAAACATGTCCTCCTTTAGAATATTAAACGTACTTTCTGTAATGTGGCATGAATGTGCAAAAAAAAAAGAAAAAGTTAGATTTTTGGCGTTGTTGAGGTTCCGTACACTTCTGAAAACTAAACAATTTCTCTTTTAATCTGAAGGTTTTTGGTGTTTTTGTCCAATTTGTTTCATTTAAACTTCCTTAAATTTCACCGATCGAATGAAAGTTTCCATCAACTTTTTAAAAAAAGTTGTTTTTGTGAAGTATTTTGGGGCCGGGTGGAGACTGTCCAGGGGCCACTTTGGGCCCTCGGGCCACATATTTGTCACGCAGGTCACAGAAATTAGTCATAACTTTTTTTTTTTTTGGCTGTGGTGTTTGTGTAATAACAATAATAATAATAATAAATGTGCAGGAGGAGCGAGTTGTCCAGGTGTAATCATCACCTGGCCTCTGGACGCAGGTGACCTTTGACCCCTGCGGTCGTCCCAGTATTTTTATCAGACTGCCGGGTCGGAACTCGGAGCGATCCGGTGAAAGAAAAGAAAAGAAAAGAAAAGAAAAGAGAAAAGAAAAGAGAGAAAGGGGTGGAGGGGGGGATGTCGAGAAGAACCGAGCCAGGAGAACCGGAGCTCAGAGGAAGAGGAGGAAGAGGAGGAGAGACAGCGACTGCTCTGTGCGGGGCAGCGCGGAACGCAAGGTACCGCAAAAACTCCTTCAGTCCACTCGAATCGCGCAGTTATCGATCCTTGTCGCAGTTATCGATCCTTGTCGCATCGATCGACTCGTGTTTGTACCGAAGCCGCCACGGAGCTTCGCCCTTTTAATCGCGTTGTCGCGCGCCCTCTGTGCCGAACTGCGTTTACAAACCGGCGCGTTTTAAGAATTTCACGTTTATCTGGAAAAGCACTCCACCGTTCGACGAAATTAAAACTTCCGTAAGCGTGTTTAGTAATTCCGGTCAATTCCGCTTTGGAAAACGGAGCCGCTTCTTCTGTTTTAAGATGAACTTCACGTTTTTCCGCCATGACGTTTTCCCAATGTTTATGACGGGCGCTGAAGTTCGCTTATGATTTGTAGTCGTAAAGGGTTATTCCTGTAAAAATTTAATATCTAGATAATTATTTAACAGCTGTAGTTTAAAAAAAAAAAAGTACTTGGACTGTTTCATTCTGAACTAAATTATTCTAGACTAAAAAACAGATCTGTTTAAAACACAAGTTTTTGATTTGCAAATCCATGAATCTATTTATGAAAGGTGATTTTATTGCTTATTTTGCATACGGACTATGATAAAACACATCCATTTTAAAAACTACACTACTTAAAACTTTTCAAACATGGATTGAATTATTCTTTAATAAAAGCCAAACCTTGAAAACACAACTTGATGTTTTATAAAACCTTCATGCAAACACAGAGGTGGTTCTCTTGAACTTTTACAGGTAAAATACGAGGTTTCACTTTTAAGTGTCATTCAGTGCAGATCAGTCTGTTCAGGGTTTGAGCCTTAAAAAGGTTTTAGTTTTTGAACATTGCAATCAAGGTGCAAGAAAAAACCCCATTAAAATGGCTTTTCTTGAATTCTAACAAATGGAAAAAACACCTTTTCAGTGCGTTAAGACCTTTATTCTAAGTCTGATTATATTATATAATTATTTAATCCAGGTTGGAACAGTTTAAGAGTTGAAGTTCTGTAACTGGAGCTCATAAAAAATAATCCCGACACAACAAATTGAGCGGAATAGTCCTTTACAGAGCTGGAGCTGAAATCAGAAGCGAACTTCAGTTTGTTTATTGACTGCGTCAGATTCGGTTTTAAGCTCTTGTGAAGTTTTAGCTTAGTGTTTGGATTTCTGCTGCCACCAACATCATTTGAAAATCCATTCAGATATCTCTAATAAGCATGTAATGTAGTTTGGCTTTAGGTCTTGCAGGCTGGTTCTTCAAATTGTTCTCCTAACCCATAAAGTGTGAAGCATCTGGGTTTCCAGGTTCTTTTCTGAACAGTTTGCTGTTTGATCCAAACCCTGTGGGGCTGCACGTGCTTTTCATTCACCTGCAGAAGGTGAACCAGCATCATCATGTTGTTGCACCTTAGTGCCCCGTACCCGCAGAGATCCAGCAGGCGAGCTGATACATGCACACCCAAATAATGCATTTCATCCAGAGTTGCTGCCTGTGCACGTTGCAGCCCCAACCTCTGTGTGATCTGTGCATGTCCCTCTAAACCACCAGCCTATAGATTAACTAACAAACAGTAATTATGGTAATCTGACGGTAAAGGTGTGGCACTTTTCCACGTCTTGCTCAGGTTTTTTTTGTAGATCTCTTCGGCTGCAAACCTTTAAAAGTGTCCCGAGGAGTAAATCATTTGCAGGATTGGGAGCGTTACGTATGTTCTCCCACGTCGAGCACACGCCCACACTTTAGTTTGGAGTTATGTAAGCGCTCGCTGACAGATTGTGCACACACCCACAGAGAAGCTGACCTCAAGCTGCAGCCTCAACAGAGATAACCGGGAGTTAAATCGCTCAAACGGCAGCAGCTGCTGATTTAATCGGGATAAACAGGCTTTCTACGTGTCAGATAAACGCTCGGTAAGTGATCATCTGCAGCTGGAGGTGACCTAAAGTGACCACAAACGACCGAAGGTATCCACGTGTCACTCATGTTTGGAATTTCTTACATTCATCACAGCTCAGACATGCTCTGTGTTCAAACGCAAAGCAGGAGTTGAGTCAAAAACGGGGATTTTACCTTTTTTCTTTTTCAAGACGACTCGTAAAATAGTTGCTTTCAAAGCTGATGACTCTTTAAATGACAGATTTCCAGTCGGAGATGCTGTTTTTTTTCAGCTTGTTAGATAAATGAAGTAAATATGCACGATATATCACGATATATCACGATATATCGTGATATATATCATCCCAGCATTGCTTGAACTGTGATAAATCTTTGCGTATAAAACTTGTTTTTTGGTGCTAGTTAAATCTGTTTAATGATTTAAGAAATTAAAACAACAAGATCTGAACAATAATTTAAGACATAACTGGTTTAATATAAGTAGACAGAGGTCGACCGATATATCGATGCTTTTTTTTATCATGCCAACCGATATCTTTTATCATTTAAAATGTAAACAGTAATTGTTTAATTTAAATAAACTTATATTAGTAGAGCTTGTATATGCAATAATTAAGTAAAGAAGAGTTTTGCTTCAAAAACATAAATTGTGTTGACAATTCTTTAAACGTTGACAATATCAGCCGATTTATCGGTTTATTGTTTATCAGAGAGATCTTGGAAGAACGCAGAAACTAAAAGGAGCAAATTATTTTTTGGTGGTTTTTTTAATTTACAAAATATTCATGAAATTTGTTAATATTTAAAAAAAAAAATGTATAGTTTAAAAACAATGATGGATCGATTTTTAATTGGCCGATATTTATCGGCAGACTGATAAGGGGAGTGGTGGTGCAAGGAGCAGCCGAAAAAGGTTTTCAGGACACGATAATGTAATATTTCTGGAGCTAAAGTCATTCAGGCCGAATGGATTTCGCACCAGACAACCTGTCATTTACCCAGAATGCATTGCAACATACACTTAATAAAATGGCGATGTCTGTGTAATTTATACTTAAACTACGCAGCCTACTGTAGTTTTTAGTTTTTATAGGTGAAGTAATTGTGTTTTAATTGCTCCATCCAGTCAGATCTCTTTAAATAACCTGTGAGGACCGAGTCGGGGTCGACGAGGTGGGGCAGCGACTTGTTTGTCCCTGAAGGTACCCAGCCCTCCAGAATTCTCTTTCTCTGGTATGCGCCTCCTAATGAGGCCCTTTATTTTCCCCGACAGCGCCAGCTCTTCATAAGAGGGTGCTCAGTCAGGAAGTCTACAAGCAGAGCGTTGATGTCGGCATCCTGCACCGGTGGCTCAATTCCCGACACCGCCGGGCTGCAGCGTCCAGCTCAGCAAGGCTGAGGTTCATCTGCTAAAAAGCAGCGGTCAACGGGAACAGTAAAATAAAAGATGCGTCCAAAGAAACTTTTTTTTTTTTTTTTTTAATTGTAAATCTTTCAACCGGAGTTTAAAAAAAATTTTAAAGAAACTTCCACGCCTCAAAATAATAAAAAGGTTGGTGCGGATTCATTTTTTTTTTTTTAAATGTCTGATTAGGATCAGTCTGCTGATGATTTATTTATTTTTATGCAGTTTAGGAGTTTTGACGTGTCACAAACAGCTTTGAGTAGAGCGGACGTGTTGTCGATCGGTGCCGGTCGTCCATCTCGGGCGACTCCGTGGGTTTGTTTACTAAACAACACCCGACCTCCTTCAAACCCTTTGCGAACACACATGTCACAGCGATGTGCTAATGTTTCTTCTGCGGCCCGAGGGCCAAGTCAGACTCGGAACAACACTCAGAAGGCGTGCCGGCCTCGCGGTTCGCTCCGAACATTTCCAGCCCCGCGTCTCCTTCGCGTCTTGTCTCGGCAGGCTTTCATTCAGCAGATTCTCCAGCGAGGAGGAAAAAGGAGGGAGAGTCGCGCCCGGAGGTAAGGCGGGGACGCTGACAGCTGCAGCTCCATGTGACGAGGGGAAAACAATAACAAGCGGCGCGTGTTTACGGTCAAAACTCTTGCGCCTTGACGAGAATTTTTCCACACGAGCGTCAACGTCTTGCTAAAGTGCCGTGAGAGAAAGTGGTTCTGAAGAGGAGACGATCGGCGTCTGTTTACTCAGCGGTGACAGGCGAGTCTTTGTTCTGCTGTCACTGAGCTATCCTGCGTGGGATCAGCAGCAAATTGCACAAGGAGAAGGTGCTGACCCGTGACGCAAGCCTCGCCGACTGGACCGAAGCCTTCAGCTGAGAAGAGCGTCGCCTTTAGCCTTTTATTTCTGCTTGTTTACGTGTAAAACTAACAGCACTGCAGAAAAAATCATGAATTTTAGATGTTGGGCATTGAGGTTTCAGTGGTTCCCAACACTGGTCCCTGAGGAACACCATCCTGCATGTTTTAGTAGTTTCCCTGCTCCATCTGATTCAGTGATTTAATTACTTATGTTCTGCAGAAGCCTGTTAATTACCCTTTAATTAAAATCAGGTGTGTCAGAGCAGAGAAACGACTGGAACATGCAGGATGGTGTTCCTCAAGGACCAGCGTTGGGAACCCCTGGATTAAGGATATCAAAGTATCACAGTATTAAAAACATTAAAGTGTGTCGCATGATCTACAACCGTCAGGACAGTAAAGGCCACCCTCTTTCAGTTCTGGGGTTTTATCAGGAAAAAAAGGTTGTTTTTTTTAGAAATTATTCAAATTTACCTTCAAGTGAGCAAAAACACACTCGGTGGTTTTATTGTTTGTTTGTTATGGTTGGGGAGGAATTTTGTCCCACTCTTCTTTCCATCGTTGCTTTAGTTCGTTTTAGATTCTGCTCAGCTCTCTGAAGGTCCACCTCAGTCAGGTTGAGGTTCTGGACTCTGACTGGACCCTTGCAGCGCTTTTTTTTTTTTTTTTTTTTGACCCGTTCTGTTGTAGATCAGCTGCTGTGTTTGGGATCATGGTCCTGTTGGACCCAGTTTGGTCTAAACTTCAGCTGGATTCACATTTAGATCCAGAACCCTTTGGTCTACAGGAATTCATGGTCCACTCGGTGACTGGAAGGAGCCCAAACCATCAACCCTCCGCCACCGTGCTGACAGCTGGGGTGAGGGTTTTGCTGCAGTGCATTATGGGTAAACATTGGTCCCATCTGTTCGAAGGACATTGTTCTAGAAGTCTTGTGGTTCCAAACAATCCAAACTTTTTCCAACTGTCCTGCCGTGACCTTTGACCTTTACCCTGCTAACGGCAGCCTGTAGCTCATTTCTCTGAGAGTTGCACGGTCTGACCTTCTGGGTGAATTTGCTGCCGCGGCTTGTCTTGGATGTTTTCCTCTTGTGGAAAACCACTCTGTAGAAAGATGGACTCCAAATGACCTTTGACCCTCCTTAGATTGATGGGCAGCAACACCTGCTTCTCTAAGGCCAGTGCTGATGTCTTTCCACCCTGGCGTTGTGTTAAAACACACCTGCATGTTATTTGTTTACTCTCCTTCACATTTTACCGTTTAAACAGTCCCGTACTCGTCAGATACACGCGCTAAAACAGTACGAGTGTCGGCCTCCTGGAAATCCTCCTTCGGCTAGGTTCAGCTGCGAACGCATAAATAATTCTGAGCGTTGTTTACAGAAAAACACGGAGGCCACTCGTAAACGGACTCACTGGGCGGTCACCACCAGATTATGGTCATTACAGAACGAGTCGAGTTAGCAGTTTGAAAAAAGAGTTTTTATTTGTTTTATTTCAATAAATCTGAGTAACTGCGATCTGTTGGATCATAAAGTTGAGACGAACTAACGCTGCGTTTTGTCACAAAAAAAAAAAAATCAGAACTTGATTAAAGGTGAATCTGGAAGTAAAAACTGGTTTTCTGGGAACAGGTCCAACACATTTATTGTTTAAATTTAGTTTTTATTTGATTTTTTTCAGAGACCAGGATGAAACGTTTGGACGCTTCACGCACGAGAAGCAGAACTCCATCAGACAGGAAGAGGCGCACAAAGGTAAAGCTCGTCTTACGCACTTTAAAAAAACAAAACAGCTTGGAGATCTGAAAATCTGTTCTGGATTCTGAATCTGTTGCAGCTCCGACACTGAGGGTGGACGGGCTGAGAAAAGACGAGGCTTCCTGCAGATTCGGTCAATCGGGAGTCCAGAGCCAGAGCTCTGCCAGGTCCTGCCTTTTGTGGGCCAAACAGGAACCGAGACTCAGAGGGACTTTGGACCTGCAGCCAGCTCGACAGTCCAGGTATGAGATCAGGAATAAGATCCAGCTTTTAGACAAACGGTCACCAGATCGGGACAAACCACCCGGAACGGTCGGCTTCCTGCATCGACAAGGAAGTGAACGCGATAAAGTCCGAGCGCACGTTTTTCTTTAAGTTTTTTGTTTTCAAACTTCACCGGGGAAATTATTAATCTCACTTTCTGCTCAGATGAAAGTCTCGGAGTTAACGTGCCATAAAGTAGAACAAATCATTCACCTGTGGGCTGATTCTTGGCCTACAGACACTTTCTTCAGTCTGCAGTGAAACGTGGGTTTATGGGTAATTAACTTTTTTTTTTTTTCAGCTTTACTGTGTTCTACTGATTTTATAAGAGCTTTGACCCCGGTCTCGCCTGACTGCTCTCACGTCTACGGTGGCCCTAAGGTGTAAATGAACATTTGAAAAAACACGACACTAGAAAAAACAGAAATTAAATAATTTTTGAATTATTCCATTTTTTTCTAACGTGATTCCAGCCACTTTCGCTTTGACCTGAGGTGTAAATGAACAACATATATGAAAAGACAGAATTACATTTGAAAAAACGGAATTACGTTTAGAAAAAACGGAATTACGTTTAGAAAAAACGGAATTACGTTTGGAAAAAACGGAACTACGTTTGAAAAAACGGAATTACGTTTGGAAAAAACGGAACTGCGTTTGAAAAAACGGAATTACGTTTGGAAAAAACGGAACTGCGTTTGACAAAATGGAATAGCGTTGGAAAAAGAACAATCGCATTTGAAAAAACGGAATAATTCAAAAATTATATAATGTCCGTTTTTTTCTAATTTACTCTTCAGGGCCACCATACACGTCAGATCAATGAAACCTTAAAGCACGGGTGTCCAAACATTTTCATAGGTGGGCCAGAACTGTCTAGATGAAAGTTCTCGCAGGCCAGAAAACTCTGAATTTTAAGAATTTATTTTTATTTTTTTTTTAAGCGGGTTTTTTTTCTTCTCATTTTTAACAACTTGAATACTACTTTGAAGGAAGGATAAAAGTTTAGTTTAAATTCTTGTAGATCCAGAACATTATGAGCCTCATAAACATCATTAACAAGTTTTTTTTATTTTTTTTTATTTTTTTTTATTTTTTAGGACTATTGTTTTTTTTTATGCTTTGAAAGTTCATTTTCATTTATTTTCAGAGACAAAAGCCTAAAAGGAGTAACCTTTATTTAATAAATGGGGTGGAAGTTCAAGCCCCCATTTGGACCATGGACGGCCCAAATGGATCGTCACGGTTCTGAAAAACAGCTGTCGGGCGCTCAAACAGATTCATGGAAGGTTTGAAGGGACATTGATAAAGTTGATCATCTTGTATGTTGATGATACCATGTTAAATATTCTTTAAAAAATGTTCAGTTTCCCCCCATCGATCATTTAATCAACTGAAATTATTTTCTTTGAAAACAGTTTTCTGAATTATTATCCAAATTCTACTTTTTGGTAGGTCAGTGAAGGTTTGTAGGATAAAGAATTGTAACTAAATGTTTGTATTGTACTTAATTTCGCTCATTTTGAGATTATTTTCATCTGTTTTGCTGTTAAACCTAAATAAACATATTTTAAAAGAATCATCATTAAATCTAAATAAGGTCAACATCTGTAAAAACCTCTTAAATATGTGGGTTGAAATTAACCCATTCTTTATTTGCAGTCGAGGGCCGCACAAAATCATTCCAAGGGCCGCAAATGGCCCTCGGGCCACACTTTGGACACCCATGCCTTTAAAGCGACCGCATGAATTGTGCGTAGGTGACGTTTTATAACTTGTGTCCCACGTCCTGAATAAAAGACATTTGGAAGTCCTCGCACGGGCGTCCATGAGGTGTAAAACTAAAGCCTGGGAAAAGTGTTTAGAAGAGGAGCACGCCGTCGAGCCCGTCGACCTGCATTCCAGCAGTCGGTTGGACGTGTAATCCCTCAGATGTTTCTCACAAAAACATTACTGTAGAACCGGGGAGGCTGGGTGTGTCCGACGGCAGAAATTACAGTTGGAGCACTTAATAAATCGGTTGCACATAAACAACGTTCAGCCGTGATTGCAGAGATGATAAAATATGTAATTTCTCTTTATGAAAAGAAAAACGCAGAAATAAAGTCATAGAATCTCGTGACTGATTTCCTTTTTTCTGTCCTTTTTTTCTTACCAGTTTGACTGAACCACAGCCAGCGGGCACCTGTCAGGTAAACCATCACCACTTAATGATATTAATGAAAATACCGATCTTGTTTTTAAAATTCAAATAGACGAACGACTAACAGGTTTCAAACCCCACCAAGAATGTTCCCGGTCTAATCGAGGCGTTTGGTGATTGTTTTTGAGCGCCGCCTAAAACAACATTTGACATTGATTAATATTTGAACTCTTAAAAGGAACAGGGTGTGTGTACTGTTGTTTTTTTTTTTTTTTTTTTGTACAAGTCCTTGGCGCTCTCAAGTCGTGCCAGAAAACCCGTCTGTCAAGACGTGGATCTCTTCAATAGCGATGACATGGGAACCAAGCTGCAGAAAGGCACTTGCTCATGCCGGCTTGCAATCTGAACTTCTTTTTAGCGGCCCAGACAATCCTTTCACTGCTTCCTGTCTGCTGCTCACCTGCTATAAAAGCCAGAAGGGTTTTCTCATTTGCATTGATGCTGTGACGTATGATGCATTACAGTTTTGAAATATCTCCTTTATGAAAATAACCACGTTAATAAAAAAGCAAAAACAGTTTCAGCATCAACCTTTTTTAGGAGTTTTGTCGCTGAAACCTTTTTGTAATGCAAACATCACAATATGAGTTTGAACAATCTAATTTATGGACTTAAAACCTCATGTTTGGTAACAATACAGGCAAACTAGACAGATTTGACAGACTCATTATACAAATAAATCTATAAATGTATATGTATTGATAGGCCTGTCACGATAACAAATTTTGCTGGACGATTAATTGTCTCAGAAATTATTGTGATAAACGATAATATTGTTTGAAATTTGACAATAACTTAATTATTGTCAAATTGAAAAAGAAATGTTGGTTAATTTTTGTGTAGTACCTTTTTTTACCACTAGATGGCAGTATAAGACTGTTTAAACCAAAGTATGGATAGTGAGGGAGCAAGCAGTGTGTCTCTTTAAGAAAAATGGGAGGGAGGCCCCTTGACGTGACATGGGCTGTCTCTCTCCAGTTCTCAAAATGGTGGATGCTCGGTGTGGTTTGAGCTCTTTAGCATAGCATTTTTCACAAAAAAAAATAAATAAATCAGTAAACAAGTTCTCCGCTTCGTTTTGCAGAGAAAATCAACTTTTAACACGAAGGCACGGGTTTCAACCGTGAATTTTGGAGCTTCGAGAAAACAGTTTTGTTTTGTTTTTTCCCTGAGGTCGGCCTGTTAGCTTAGCTCGTAGCTTAGCTTCTCAGCTTAGCTGCTTTTATCGATCCAAAAATGCAATTTTGTACGGTTAAAATGGATTTTAAAGATAAGAGAAAGAAAGGGGTCAGTGAAAAGCACCGAGTTGAGCCTTTTGTCATCCAGTGTCTTCAGTAGAAGGAGAGACACGAAGTAACGATAAAGCTGATAAATGAAAATGAGGTTGATAATTTTCATTTATCATGTGATTGATTTTATTGTTTATCGTGACAGGCCTATGATTGACAGTAATTATTTGTATCTTTAACAGGTCAATGGAGGAACGTCACCAGACGGTCGTATAGGACCAGCCTGCATCTCTCCAGTACCAGAGGCTGTTTTGTTTCCAGTCAAAAAGGAAGAAGACATCAGTACCGTTGTGAACTATGAGCTGGGGATTACCACGAACTTGAATAACTCTCTTTCTCACGGTAACTTTAGACCACATGAGTGTAATGGCTTGCAGATACCTCAGTGCGTGTCACATCCGACGTGCCCTGGATCTGTAGCTGAAACTCAAACAAGAAAGGAAATAAGCTTTGAAAACCCATCTGATTGTGGGAAATCATCTGGAACCATGTTGTCCTCCATGGTGTCTGTTCTTGCGCCTCCCTGGAGTAGCCGTCCAAGGCGGCCCAAAAGATTTGACGAGACGAGCAACTCTTATTTGCAGAACACTGCAGCAAGTCATGAACATGGTTTTAAAAGCACTCTAAACCAGCCTGGTGTTGGGCTGCACATCCCAAGGAGTGTCTCTTTCCTGGACTCCAGGAGGAATACGGTAGACTGGTCGACTAAAAGCGATCCTTCAAGCTTGGATTTCGAATCTAAAAGGAAAATGACGCAGACTGTCTCTTTGGATTTAAATGGCACAAGTCCTTCACACTCGGCTCTGTCTCCCTGGTCTCCCCTCCCACTTGACCAGAATGACCAAAGGAGCAGTCCAAGGACAGGCCAACGCCAAGAGCGACTGTCTTCTATGAATTCAAAACCAACAACAAGCACTCTGCTTCTGTCTATAAGAAGATCCAACAACACAAACTCTAACACGTCCTTCGTCTTCCCTGAGGTAAACTCACCTCTGAGCAGTTCCCCAAATCATCAAAATGGAAAACTGCTCACACACCTCCCTCAAACCTCTTGCAGTAACGATAATGAACAAGACAGGCCAACATCCCTTCTCTCCCCTTCGTCCATTTCTTATAAGACACCTGAAACTGTCCCTGTCCTGTCCCCGGCATCTTCCAATCACAGAGATAATTCATTTACTCTTTCACCTCAGGCTATAAATATGACTCAGGCCAGTCTTGCCTCTTCAAAATTTTCATTTCAGGGTAATAAACTAGAAGAAAGGCAACACAACAGTAACACAAATCCATTCATTGAAACTTCAATCTTTTCTCCAAGACATTATTCATACGAACACCCTGCCCTTACGAAAACTCGCTCTCTTCCCAGACGAACCACCCTGACTAACACCTCCTGGTGGAAACAAGTGTCCCAGGACGGCGGTTCTCCTCTCAGTCACAACAACGCAACAAATATAAAAGACGAGCCAAGCGCAGACTCGCCACGTCTGGCAGACAACAAAAGACTGGCTAGTCAAAATTTCAACAACACCGATGACAACAGCACAGCATTTTGTAAAGGTAACATGAATCTAACTGTAAAGATGCAGTCAGCTGAACCAAAAAGGATTAACCAGCAGCTGTATGACTCAAACTTAGACAATAGAGAACTACAAAAACCTCACAGTATGCCCGATTGTTTGCCCAGTTCTAAACTGAGCAGAGCTCCGCCCCAAATAACACTAAGGCCCATCGTTGGTCCCAACAAAAAAGATGTAAATAACACGTTTACAGAAAATTCACCTGAGAAACCCACTTCTTTTAAACCCAATACCTTAAATCCATCCACAAATGGCAACAAATATAAAACCAACATTACTCCAACATCTCCTCACAACATGAACGCACAAACATTGGCTCTTCCCCATGACTTTGCCATGCTCACTCCTTCTCAAACCACTTCTAAAAACACGTTTTCTTTACAGTCTCCAGTTTCCTCTACGACGAGTACTCAAACCCCTTCATCCGGTACGCCAAATGTCCCCACCAAAACCACTGTCACACCTCTTGGCTTTGAAAGAAGTTACGCCTGTCTTCCCAAACCTTTCCACTCCAAAACTGCATCTAGTCTGATATCCAAAGTAGAGTCTTTCACCAGAACAAAAGGCAGCCCCGTTTACACCTCCCCTGCTACATTTTCATCAACCTGTCCTTATAGTCCATCCACCCTTAGCCCTTCTGTTCCTCCTGACGTCACATCTCCCATCTCTGTAGCTGCCTACTCCCCTTTGACTCCTCCTGCAACCCCTGGAAGTCCAAGCTTCAACTCTGAAACTACCAGCCCTAAAGTAAAAAGTATACTGACCAACAGCCCAGAAAACAAGCCAAAAAAACCATATCTCAAGTTGGAGAAGAAGAGAGAAAGGCGAGTAACATGGGGGGACTCTGTGGATGTGCAATGCTCAGAGACGGATTCTTCTCCAGTCCAAACAAACCCTCCTCCTTCCTTCAGGTCCCCTCAAAGTACATCTACCATTTCTTCTTCGCGGCCAGAAAATCCAGAAGTATGTACTTCATCCGTTTGCTCACCAAGCCCCAAGGCTTTCAGCATCCAGGTGGTAAAAGAAGGGAACTATCGCTCCTTATCGTCTGACTCTGCTGATTTGGCAGCCAGAGAGCGTGAGAAAAACAAGCATACGACTGGTGATGCTTTAAACCGTGACCAGGCAAGACAGGGCTTAAACACAGCCAGTAAGGAGTGGATGCCATCACTGGAGTCTGGCACAGTTCAGTCTCGTTCCTCTGCTCCTCGCTCCCTTCCACCTGACTTTTCAAGTGGTCTTAAGATTCGTTATAGCACCCCACCTTACTCCACGTTGATGTCTAGTAGGCAGACGCAGGGAGAAAAGAAGACAATTTCTCTTTCACAATCCTCTCAGTTGAGTTATACCCCACAAACTTCCTTAAGCAATGACCTACATATGACCTCTACATCCAAATTTCCTCCGACACCTGCCAGACAGTCCCAGCCCTTTTCCATCCAAAGGGCAAATGCCACGCAAGACCGCTCAAACCACAATCTATCAGCCACTGATAAAGTCAACAATAATCACATCAAGGACCAAGAACACACAAGTAATCAGATACGGCTTCTTGACAACAGGGTTCAGATCAGCTCAGAGTCTCTTTCTGGTGACGATGGGCACACCTCTTCTTCAACATTTGTGACAGAGACGCTTGTTTACAGCATTAAATGCAAAGGCGATACAGCACCAACGAACGCCACACCTAAATCTTTGCAACACAACACAAGCGCATTGGTTTCTGTGGAGACCAACGCAAGTCAACAGTTAAACACAGTACAAAGTAAAGAGGCATGTAGTCATTCAGATCAGAGCAATAAAGACAACAAACCGACAGACAATCAGGCCTCCGATCGTGAAAGCAACAATGAAAGCCTAAAGGAGAGTGTGCTGGGTAAAAACAAATCCTGTTCTGTAGAAGTTAACGATGAGCAAAGCCAAAAGAAAGGCCGGTGTCCGCCAAAGAGAAGCGTCAGCACACCAAACTCTACTGTAAGCAGGTCGGAGTCAGAAAAGGTCTGCAAGGGTTCCAACAAAATGGATCAGATGTTGAACAAGTTGAAACAAAAGTTCACTAAACGATCTGATGACGATTCGGCATTTTCATGGAAGTGGAGGCGAAATTCCCAAACACTTTCCGTGAGTGGGTCAAGTGACGTCAGTGATAGCAGTGCTGACGGAACCAGAACCGAGGAGAAAAAGGCAGCGAACGATGCAAAAACAGATGCAAAACAGTCCACAGAGAACAGATACACCATTGTACCTTCCTTAACTTTCGGAGAAACAAAGGAAGGCGAAGACTTCACTGTTTGGCCAGAAAAATCAGCTCAGGGTGTTGCTAAAGATGAGCAAAATACTTGTGAGGAGCAAACATCTAAAAGTCAAGTTCATCTGACTGTACACAGCCCAGCAAACCAGTTTATCCCTGGTTCAGATCCCATTTCCACTGCTGTCTATACAACTCAATACAGGAAGTCTACACCCAGTCCCAGGAGCCCCTTCTCACCTTTCTCCTCCCTTTCCCCCATTTCCCCATTCTCCTCTCCTGATGTGGTGGATGACAGTGTTTTTTACAGCCCAAAGCCGCAACGCCGCAGGGAATCATCCTCTCCATGTGAGCCAAGAGAAGAAATCAGCTTAGAAGGCTCAAGAAGGCGACGGGCATCCACGGGTCCTCCCAGTTTAAGTCCAGGAGTGGACACGGAACACTTTGCTTCCTCTTATGCCGATTTAAAGTATGGCATCGAACCCGGAAAGTCATTTTCCGTAAGTTCGGTTCTCTCCAGTCGACCCTCAGGGCCAGGACGGATTTCCACCGGGTCCAGGTTCATGAGTGTGGGGGACCTTTCTCAGTCAGCCTTGCCTTGTGCAGGCAATGGCAACGAACTGTATCGGGGTTCTCTCACACCTGACCAGACAGGAGACTCATGTTTCTTGCCTATCTACGGCCGTCAAATGTCCGATTTCCCCTGTGATTCCAGTAAAATGCGATCCAGGTCTCTGCCTCGATCCCTGATCCCTCGCTTGGCCAACTGGAGCTCAGGAGTCCCCCCCTTTCAGTCTATGACTGCTGCCCCCTCAAAGCCAGCATGTCTTCGCAACCCCATCATGAACATTCGCCAACTTGAGTGGGACACTGAAAGTCCCCCAACACCACCTCCAACCCCTCCCCTGTCGCCAGTGTCCAGACGTATGTCCAAACCTCCCAGTCTTTCTTCTCCTGTCTTCTCCGGCTCACCAGGAGCCATGCAGCAAGTGGACAGCCAGGCCTCCAGAGGACATCTGCCCTACGGGGGCTACAGGTCCAGCCTCAGCACATTTGATGAGTCCTCAGACAGCAGCTCGGACACGACAACGGACGATGAATATTACTTGGAGGAAGGAAAAGAGACGGAGCTCTGAAAGTAGAAAAGACATTCTGGAGCTTTGGCTATCAAGAACATGAAACGGAAAACTCCAGAAGAAAGGTGGACTAGAAACGGAAAACTCCAGAAGAAAGGTGGACTAATCAGGTACTGATTGGACATTAATTTGCTGCTTGATTTGCTTCATGAAGGTGTGGTCATGAAAAGGTTTACACTGGATGAGCAAGCCTGAAAATACACCATGTACAGTAGACTGCAGGAGTCTGCAGACTTTAATTTATTAATAACACGTTGCATGGTAGAGGCTACATGTGCCTGTGTGGTTGTTTCAAAGAACAAAGCGCTCTGTAAAGTTACGCTTTTGGGCTTCAAATTTGCATTTCATTCTGCCAGGTGACACGAATGTAAGCGTGCTGTCTCATGCTCTCCACCATGTGTGGAAAACTGAAGGGAACGTTGTTTTAACGGCTAAAACTACACTGGAATGAAATATAATCGTAAAAAAGATTAATATTGCTTTATTGCAGTGCCTGCTTCTATTTGCACAGTGACAATCTTAAATCCTAATATATCAGTTTTATAAATAAATCTTGATTTTTCTAACAAGAGCTCGTAGATGTGTGGGGTTTTTCCTGTCGCTGTATTTACAAGACCATAAAAAGTGTTAATTTGGTGAGGGAAGTGAAAGAAGTGACGCTCCAGGCACGGTTTTCCCACAATTATACGAATCGTGTTTTAAATGCC